TATGGAAAAATTAGAGAAGCAAGCTCAAACTTTGGCAGAACAAGCCAAGAAAAATCAAGTAAAACCGAAGAGAGATGTTCTTTTTGTCAGGTAAAGATTAAGTGCTTTTGATATACGGGGGGGGGGGGAGGTTGGAGGTGGATAAACTTAGAGGGAGCCAATTCCACGAGGTGCAACCATGGTTGGTGCTTAGCCCGGAAAATTTTGAAAATTCGGAGTCTCTGGATTGACGGAGTGTTGTCTACCTCTTGCGTTAAATTAGGTCCTTTCATTAATTCTTTTAAAATGATTAGCGAGTCTATGCTTTCCCTGAGTCAGGATGGATTATTAATTGGCCGATTAGCGCAATTTCTGCTTCCCACTTTTTCGCAATTTGGTACGGTACAATCAAGTTCCACGTCTAAATCAGTTTTCGATATTTTGCCGTATCTATCGCAATTTGATTCGGTGCTTGAAAAGTTCGCGGTCTAAACCGGGCCTGAAGGCAGGCATATTGGTGACAGAACTCGTTAGTTATTCACGGATAAATTTAATGGGAAGAGAGGCTACTTGCTTGTGATAAATAAGATTAGTGGGTAGGGGGCTACTGGTACGTCATGTCGTTTGAATTATAGTAAATCGAAATGGCTTCAGTCCTCATCTTTATGTAAAAGCGCTTAGGTTGTGGTCTGTTTACAAAATGCTATTTTATATAATCAAATTAGTTAGATGACTTCTAAAAAGATCGCGGAAAAGGAATAAATATTATAATTGATATTATAATTTTAAATGATGTTTATCACAGAGGCGAAGCTACCGAAGAGGAAAATTTGGAGGAAATGGCGAGAACAGCAAACCCTGAAGAAATTTCAATTGACGAAGATGATGATGATGAAGATGAGAAAATTGAAGGTAAAAATTTGTGTAAAAATCTGGTCATCAAAGCCGATAAGGAGCAGTTGCAGCAGAGTGGGAGGAAATTGCAAGAGGGTAGGAGGAGGAATTGCAAAAGGGGGGGTGGAAGTTAGGAGTTTGGAGTGGGGAAGTCGACGATGGTCGGGTAGGGAGTTAGGCGTATGGGAGGGAGAAGTTGCAGAAGGATGGGGGGGGGGGGGGGTTGGGGG